TAAACCCCGTTTACATAAATGACCGCCTACATTATCAGACCAGATTCGATAACAACTAATCAGGGTTAAGTCAAACAATGTGCCCTGTGTGTCAGCCTATCACAGTGTGTTCCCAAGATCTTGGGAACCTACGGGGACGCTGGAACATGATAAGGGACAGCGTTACGCAGACATTCCTTTTCCGCGTTCAACAAAGGAAATAGGAGACGTCTGCATGCAGGCAAGTCTGAAAGTCATTCTGAATAGTCATAGTATACATGTACATGTATGTAAAATGAGATCTTTTTTTCTATCCCAGAAGTAGTTGTTCCCTTCTAACCGTCATTAATTATGGTGCAAGGTGCTTCTAAAGGAATCCTGGTTACGAGTTTTTATAGTTTTTGGAGACATGAGAGCCTGTAAGATGACTTCCTCTCCCTAATCCACACAGGGTAGGAACCAGATATCATGAAAGATATCATAATCATGATAGTCCAAGTGAGTTAGTAACAATTTTGTTGTTGGTTTGATCTTTTATAGTGCCATCATGGCTGAGGATTGGGGAGCCGTTGATGATGCTGCACCTGTTGTAGTTGCACCTGAAGTTCAGGATATTAAACTGTTTGGAAAATGGAGCACAGATGATGTTCAAGTCAGTGACATCAGCTTAACTGTAAGTGCAGCCTCTCATCATTACTATAACCTTTCTCTTGTGGCTCTGTATGGAAAGCCCATCTGGAGGTCTATTTAGTTTAAATTTTTGAAAAGAATGTACTTTATGTGTTTATCTTAGTTTCTTCTGTAGCTTTTGACATGTTTTATAATTTACAGGACTACATTGCAGTTAAAGAGAAGTATGCCACTTATCTACCCCACACTGCGGGTCGTTATGCTGCAAAACGGTTTAGGAAGGCACAGGTAAATGATAGGAAATAGCTGGAATTCTGCATGGGTTGGTTATCATTTGATAAAGGGCTCTCTTCACTGTATCAACTCTCCTACCAAGGATATTGGTTGACAGTAGTTGGTAGTCTCTCCAATATTCCATTACAACTCAGTCCTTTACATATACTTTTTGTTTAGTTGGGCAATGTTGTTAAGATGAAAAGATACCTTATTTTGGATGATTTTATCCTAAATTTTCATAATTATACTGAATCAGTTATTTCTATGATAGGACATTTGTATGATAACATCTTTTGAATATCAAGACCAGACTGCATTTGGTTTTTCCTTTCCTTTTTTAATTTGATAATCCCAGTGAGGTTGAAATAACAAAAGCCTTAATTTGCACAAGAAAGCAAAACCCTGAAGGATTCTGGTTGAAGTAGTAAAATGATGCCATTGTGTAAATGGCCTGTTGTCAGATTTAGTGATTGAGTTTTGATCTATGACTAAGCAAAATGTGATGTTGATCGACAAAATAGTGTTTAATTAATGATCTGGTTAAGACAGGAAGCAATTTCTTTTGTTATGGTACAATCGCTTTCCTCACATAGGATTTTTTTTCATTTTCACACAAAGAATGCAGGAACTGCATAAAGGCAGTTTACGAAATAAAGTTCCCTCTTATCTGGACCATTACTTGAATTGGGGGAAGGGTGGGAGGTGCATGGAGTAAACAAGGTGCAAAGAAAGTTGCAGCTTGCCATTCGGGCAAGCTGTAGCAAGCATTTACTAGCCCAAAAGTCATTTCCAAAAGTTATTTTAAGTAGCCAGAAAAAAATGTTTGATGAATAGGATTGATTACAGTTCTTATGTAATTTAAATTCCCCACAAAGCTTCACTTTCCCATCAGGCAAGTTATGTTGTACTGTCATCCTGTCCCTTGTGTCTGTTTTAAAAGTTGTTGTTGTTATGGTATCATGTCTAGTGCCCTATTGTGGAGCGTCTGGTGAACTCCATGATGATGCATGGACGTAACAATGGCAAGAAACTCATGACTGTCACAATTGTGAAGCATGCATTTGAGATCATTCATCTGCTAACTGGAGAGGTAAGTCATAGTAAGAGAAAAATTTTCTTTTCCGCTTGCCCTTCAAACAAGCACTATATTAAACTTGGTTGTCTGAAACGCAAGAGTTCTTGTCCAAAAAGTTTTGTTTGAAACTCAAAACTCAAAACAATTGGGTATTTAATGTTTTTTACTGATATTTCTTGATCGTACTTTATTCTTAAGAATCCCCTACAAGTGTTGGTGAATGCCATCATTAACAGTGGACCACGTGAGGACTCCACCCGTATTGGTCGTGCAGGTACTGTCCGTCGTCAAGCGGTTGATGTGTCCCCACTGAGGCGAGTGAATCAAGCTATTTGGCTGCTCTGTACTGGGGCTCGTGAATCAGCCTTTAGGAACATCAAGTCAATTGCTGAATGCCTCGCTGATGAACTTATCAATGCTGCTAAGGTCTGTATAGTTTTAGAGAGAAATCTTTTCCATTTTTCCTATGTTGTCAATTATTAATTCTCTCTGTTAACACAGTTTCCCTCAAACTGATGTGCTTTTTATAATGCCAATTGACTCAATGAAACCCCTAGAATCTCCTGGCCTAAAAGCAAGACTCTATCCCTTCTTAAAGGTTCTATTTACAGACACTAAATATGGTAGATAGCAGTAACTATTCCTTATTTCTTCAAAGGTGAAGGGATTGTTAGATTTGAAAAAAGGTTTGGTGATGAAACTGAATTAAGTGAACATGAACACACCTGATAGTGTCATTGTACATATTACTTTTAGCTCATCTTTGATATGCTGTATTCTACAGTGTTATAAGGCTCTAGTCCCTCCCCATTTGATATGTTTTTACAATCTCTTCTCCTCTGCACCTTCAATGTTAAGAGGCAGTGTCTGTAAAATTGGTCCAGTACCTTCAGGGTCAAAAAATAGTTTGCCCTCAAACTTTGCCTTGTAAATCATCGTTTATAAGTAAATGAAATAACCTTCATTTTAGGAAATACTTCAAAAGACATATGTGAGAGCACTCAACTGTCAAACTGCTAAATACCTTGAATTTGTATGTGGCAAAAGCCAAAAAATTACACAAATTACCAAGCTCGTTTCTCCAAATCCACCAAACGCAAGAAAAAATTGTTGTTAATTATAGGTTAAGGGGTTCATTAACAGTGTGGATAATATGATAATTTTATATTCTGTTGAACTGAATAGTTTATTGCTGGAAATCAGTCTTAGAGCACCTAAATCAACAACAACAACCACTGATTTTGGTTGTCTCCCCTCTTATTTCTATGACTGGTGTGCTTTTTTCAGGGATCATCAAATTCCTATGCCATCAAGAAGAAAGATGAGTTGGAACGTGTTGCCAAGTCTAACCGTTAAAGTATAATCAAAACCGAAGAGTGCAATAAAATGTGTTCCTGAATAAACAACTTGTTTTTGGTGTTATTACAGCTTTACATTGTACTCTTGTCATCATTTTAGTTCCAATGAGTTCATAGAAATATTAAAGCCCAAGTTCAGGGCTGTGCTCTAGCAGAGCCCGGTGGCCCCTGGCGACTAGAAAATCTCAAATTTTTCATGCAAATCATATGCTGGGCACCCTAGATTCTAATGTTTAAGAGCACTGGGCTCCCTTCAATTTTCCTTAGAGCACAGCCTTGAAGTTATTAAACTGTTTTTAGAACTAACCTGGCCCAGTATGTTCTAAGCTAAGATCGCTCGACCCAGTATTTTCGTAGGCTCACCTTTCATCTCAACCTAATAGGCCACTTCCGAGTTCCAAGAACCCTCATTTTCAAAGTGAGGCCGAGTGCACAGCCTTTCTTGTGAAAATGAGTCTTATTTGCATAAGAATGAAAAATCATTTCCAAATCAAAGGCTGAGCACTTAACCTCGTTTTGATACAGAGGCCCAGGGGAACTCGGAAATAGTCTATTGCCAGGGTCCTCTCCCTTGCCTCAGGATAGAGAGAGAACCCTGGGAACAAGGTCGCTTACATCTTTGAAAATCTTATACCTAACCAGCTTGACCTTTGTTGGAAATCCGTTTTAGAACATGGATTACATGTAGACTAAATTTTAAGGTTTTTTTTTAGATGGAGTGAATATCACCTGACCATGGCATCACATTTGTTTTTAGCTCTGAATCCAACTTAAGTTTTACCCGCATTTTCTCTTGAAATGCTCTATCCAACGTATATTTAGGGTGCTCACCCTCAGCTGTGCATAGTTTCAATGAAATTTATGCAGGGCATTTTGAGATATCTTCGAATTTCTTTGTAAAGCGTATAATTTTATATACGTGAACTAGAGACTGGACATCACATCACCGAACAACTTGATCCTTATACAAACCGCTGGAAGCAGGTAGACTCGCGCGATTTCGGAAAAACATGAAAACATTGCCATTTGCACATCTCCCATAATAAACCTTGTTTGCTCCCGAAAATTTTGCATAAGCATTGTCTTCTATTTCTCTTGGGTATTGCTGTAGTCCCAAGAGAAATAGAAGACAATGCTTATGCAAAATTTTGGGGGGCAAACAAGGTGTATTACGGGAGATGTGCAAATGGCCAATATGAATCAGGGTGAAATAACGCTGAGTTCTTTCGCAAGTTCTGAGGTCACTAGCGAAAACAGCGATTAAATCACAATTCATAGACTGACTTCCTTTAAAAATTTTCGGGCTGTAATTGGTATCTTTCTACTTAATTGCACGATGACGTCATTCTACCACAAAGACCAGAATCCTTCAGGATTTTGCTTTCTTGTGCAAAAACGAAAATGATTCTGGTCTTGGTTGTAAAATAACGCCATCCTGCAAATGACCTATTCAATTTTTCATTTCCTCACAACTTACAAGGTGGAAGAAAAAAGAGACGCGCGTGATCTGGAAAAGGGGGCGGTGGCGGGAAAAGAGGGAGAGAGAGACTCCGCCGGCTTATTTCTGCCCAGTCCCCGTGCGTTTAGCGCTTCAATTTTTACGATCTCTGCACGTAGACCTATTCTCCTAACTCAATGTTGTACCCAATTCAAATCTCCCGGGGTTAAGATTCTTTGTGTATTGCATTTGCATCATAATGTGGCATTCACATTTAAATGATATTGGAAATTCCTGAAACAAAACGTTTCATTCCCAAAGGGTTTGAATTGGGTACAACATTGAGTTAGCCGAATAGGTCTATTACCATCGTGGAGCCTGGAACAGGCTAAGTCAACAGATAAGAAATATGCGAGAAACGTAAGACGGTCAAGTTGTAGAAAACAGAGGACAAAGAAAAGAAGGGCTAGAATAGATCCTTGAGGAACATCACATTTGATTTGTTGAGTCAATAAGTAAGTTGCTTTAAACACGTTTTGAAAAGTAGCCTCTGCTCTAATTAAGAGCAAAGCCGCGAATACCGTGTTGTTCCAATTCTGAAAACAGATCTAGGAAAGCACCGGCACTTTAAACTTGGCCCTGGTGAATCAGTGATAATGATTTTGATTCAAACTGGAATTTCTACATTATCTCGAGACGTTCTACGTCGGTAGATATTCGGTTGTGCATATAAACTCCTTGTAAACGAATTTCGAGAAATTCGTTAAGAATAAAATACGGCCATTGATCAATGAAAATTTCAGGCACTCCAGCCTTAAAGACGGGGATGAGCTTGGCCATTTTATTTTATCAAAAAATAATAGACCATTTTACAGTTGTGGACTTAGTACCCTAGCCTTTGAGTGAATGTGAGGCTGATGGTGACCTTGTTTTGATAAAAACCTCCTTTGCTTTGTTATGGGAATTGTCCTTGAAAAGTACGAGTCAGCATAAGAATAACTTGATTTATATAACAAAGCAGGGACTATGTATCAAAACAAGCTCAACTCCAGCCTCGCTTCCAACTATAACTGTAAAATAGCCTATTTTAGCTAACAAAAGATTTATTATTTTAAGCCAGAGAGGACTGAAATTGAGATCAAAAGACGTCTTGTCGACACGCATATAGTGGTAATATTCTTTTTCTAGGGTGAGTTTAATCGTCAGCCCCTTTTTACGACGGTAATTCTCATTTCCTTTGGGTTTATTTATTACCTCATTAGATAGTTTCGAGATTAACTTTAATTAATCCTTGGCTGTTTTAAATTTTTGGTCATAAAAAGTTCTTTTAGTTGTTTTAAGTTGGTGATTCAGCTTGTTTCCGGCATAGCGTGGATATTGAAGCTCACAGCCAGCGTTTAAGGAAACGATACTTTTGTTTTGTTTGTTGTTATTTTTTCCCAAAGCCCCGGATTTCTTTTCCTAATAGACAAAAAAAACCTTATTTGAGTGTCAATGTATTTTGCAAGAAAGCTCTAATTGGGGACACCATATTAACTTCTCCTACTAGAGACGGGTCCTCCATTTTACGTCGTCATCCGCGAGCCACGCGAAGGTCTAGCCATTTGCAGGACAAAGGCAGTACCTTCAATTCTCAGTTGTTTTAAGACCCTGAGTATTGGTCCGGTGCCGGGAATCCAACCTGCGACCTCCCGCTCTGCAGTCAAGCGCTCAGTCAAGCGATCTACCTACTGAGCTAATCCTGCCCGGTGATAGATAGCGAAACGACCGTAATTCTCGTTAAGTAAGTCAAACGAGAAAACGACGGGAAAAGGGAGTGAGAAAGAAGGCAGAGAGCTTATTTAATCTCTACTTTTCCCCGTGGCTCCCTTCCCCACTGTTTCCTCGTTTGACCTCAGTTCAGCTTTCTCGCGGCTTTGTTTCCTACTTCACGAACCACAAACGAAAAGCACTCCAAAAAGCCACCTGTTTTGAAATCAGCTGAGGTAAATAGATGTTTTGAAGGGCATGCCTTTTAACACGAAGCAGAAATTTTTCTTATGTCATATTTTACATCGATCATGATCACGAAGTTAGTGTTACACTGATCGCTGTAAATCAAGAGAAGAGAGTAGATGATCACCATCATAATCAGTCTCATGTGCTGAATCAACTTCGTATTATAAGGGTCTGAATGGGGTTTAGTGTTAAGTGATATTTGCCTATAATTTTAGGCGTTTTATTGTTGTTGTTTTTTTGGTTGTTTACTGTTCCCGGAAAAAATAATGTTAAGTGTTTGGAGGGTTTTTCGTAAAAAGCCCGTAGCCTTTTAGCATTGTCAACTCTTCCTGGGAAATCGCTAAAAAAAGTTCAAAGGGGCTGTGGCAGTTTCCGGACATCTTCCGTCTTCGGCAATTTTGCGTAGTCTTCGGAAATCTTCTGAAATTATCGGGAATTGTTGGAAAATAGCCGAAAACTCCTTGACATACTAAACAAAATAATATTTGCCTTTTTGGAACCGTTTTTATCTCTTTCTGGAAAAAAATACTGCTTCAGTGAAACTTTATTACTTTTAGTGTTAAAATGCGCAAAATATAACTGTTTCATACATGTTTTAGAGCCAAAACAGTATAAGTGTTTTATGGTACTCCCTTTCAGACACTCCATTATACTCTTAGTAACATATTATATCAGGGGAAACCCAAAGACCAAATGTTTCTAAATACGTCAGTAGCGTCTCAAATGTTTTTTCTACGCCGTAGAAGTCACTTTGGAGCTGCCCTAAAAATTATTTATTGGCTCGGAAGTGAACTTTGGCCGTCTCGAAAGTTTAAGGTGGCATTTTCGTCTCATCCGAAACTGTTAGCTACCCTGATGGGTCCGGTTGAAAGTTAGAGGACATTGATCAGCCATCTGACTTTCACTTGAAAATTCTAGGAGACGTTTTGTCTTCATGCTAAAATTTTTAGGAGGACTTTTTCAACAATAATCGCAATAGTCTTTTCGAAGTCTTTATAATAAAATCTGAGAAAACCTGTCGTAGAAAACCTCCGAATATCTTTAGACGAACGAAACGGTAGCCTTTCTTAAGCTTCAGAAATTTCTAGGCATTAAAAAGTCTTGGGTGTCCCTGATCTTAAGAACAAATACAAATGAACATGAAAAGCGGAATTAACTACAAAAAGCATCTATCATAGTGTTCCAAAATTAAAGTAGACAGCCAGTGCAGCTGAAAAGCGTCTTCGTTGTTATTATCCCCTTCCATTTTGTCTGATGCTAAGCAGTTCCATTATAACTTTACGGAGATCTTTCTTTCTCCAGCAGTAAACAAAGGGATTAAGAAGCGAGTTTAGGAAAACACAAGACAAAACTATATCGCGCAAGATATCTTTCAATATCCCGTGCGTAAGTGTTGGCACGTACGAAAGGAATACGAGGACGATAATTATACTTGTTGTTTTAAAGGCTTTCCTTTCCTCTAAGAATTTAGTCTTCCCTTCGCTTGAAAGCTGTTCTGTTTTTATCCGCTTCATATGTCGGCGTGAAACAAAATATACTGTTGTATGACAGTATACGATAGTTAGAATGGCTGGCACGACGGTTACATAAATAAAACATTTGGCAAACAAACGTGTGGCTGGTATTGGATGAAAAATTACAGGAATAACTGAAATAATCCAACTACAAAATACAACAATCGTTAATCTAGGTGTGGTCACGAGGCTAGAATATCTAAGTGAGTATTTCATAGCTATATAACGCTCGATACTCAGTAAAGCTAACATCAGCAACGATTCAACACTTGGAAAAATATAGAAGAAGACTGCCGTTTTGTAAAAGGCGCAATAATCATAATCCTCCAGCGATGCACCTGAGAGATAGTAAATTTCTTGTGCGATGAATAATGGTTGTGAAACCAAGCCGACTACCATGTCTGTTGCCGCTAAACAGGCCAGTAGTATGTTGTAGTTAGACTGCAATGGTTGCCGTGTTTTTATCGCAGAGATAATTAACGTGTTCATGAAGATGATAACGGGACATGATCCTAAATTCATCGCGATAACAGGTAGAGCAGCGTGGCTGTCTTGCTTTTTCGTCAGGCGACAACTAGCGGCAGCATCCTTGCTGGCTGAGGAATTACTGAAATTCATCTTGGCTGCCAGGACTGACTCCCAATGGTCGACAGTTTTTTAACACCTGTAATGCGTTGACAATGTTCGTTCTTTAACGGTCTCTGTTGTATGATTCTAAGGATATTAAGCTATGGTAGGAGTATTTTCACTCACCTGGCCAACAGCTGTGCAAATTTCACTGGAATGAAAGAAAGCTTGTACTGGAACACCTGTACGGCCGCCGTTTTGGCGCATCAATGTGGCCGACGTGACGTGGATGAAAACCCTCTTTACCCGCAAATGACTAATGCACTCTCGAATGTGTAAAAACCAATTGCTAAGAAGTGATATAACTAAAACCCGAAGGGACCACAACTTACCCCTTAATCATTTTTCTTGTTCAACAAAAACAACCAATGAAAGTCTCAGTTTAAATTTTCTTATGTCTTAACCCAGTTCCGACATAATTAAAATTAACGGGACACTCTAAAGTGTTCATATACTATTTCATTAGTTAACTTAGGGATGTTTTTTTGGGGGATGTAATCATAGGTGTTACAAAGATTCGCCACCGAACTAAAATGGTAATTAACCTATCACTTTTCCTGTCATGAATTCGATGTAAAACAAATGTTTATTTTAATAAGCTTCCGCAGCTACCTTTCTTGTCATAAAATATGCTTCATTAAGGTTTTCAGCAAAATTTTGTCTAAATTTGAGAGTATTGCATGGTTTGATCTTTCAGCCTTCGCCTGAACTTTCGTCTAAAATTTCCACGAAATAACTACTATCAGCCATTATCTTTATCAGTAGAGAATTTTTATCTTATTTTCTCGTGTTTTCGGCCGAACTCATACAGTTAGTAGTTCTCTAATTAAAATATGGGATATCTCTAAATTCTCAGGTTACTATTAAGACTAACATTTATGGCGACGTAGTTTATGCTCAAACTTGGGAGGTATTGGCCCTGAAAAACTGTATCGAGCCACCTTA